GGGCGTCTCGCCGCCCTTCGACTCGGACGAGGGCTCCCGGAGAGGCAGAGGGAGGGGGGGGTTCAGCCCCGCCGCGGCCTGAGGGGCGGGGGGAAGGCCGGCGGGGGTCCGTTCCCCCGAGGCCGCCATCGGATCGCACCGCTTCATCCCCTCCACGCCACCGGGAACCAGGGTGTTGACGTTGCGGTTTCGCAACCCCAGCCCGGACGGGCGGACGGGGGAAATCCCCTTGGGCGAATGTGTGGCGGCGTTTTCGTCAAGCGCCCGCGCGGTTGTCTGAGCGCGCGCGACCGCCTCCCGCAGCGCCGCCTCGCGCGTCTGCAGAGCCGTGGACAACTCCTCCCGCTCGGCGCCCAGTTGAGCAATCGCCTCCCGCAACGATTCCAGCTCTTGCGCGTCCTTGGCGGCTTGAGCCTCGTACCGGGCCTGCTGCGACTTCAGCTCCGACTGCAGGGCTACGACTTTGGCGAGATAGGTCTCGAGAACGTGCGCCTTTCCCGCTTCTAAGGCCTCGATGGTGCCCTGGAAGGACGCCCGCTCCGCCTCGAGATCGCGAAGGCGTTCGCGCAGCGACTGCGCTTCGGCCTCGAGGCCGCGAATTTGCCTGAGAAGAGCCTCCGTATCCGACACGTACCGCGCTTCTTGCCGCTGCAACCTCTCCTGGCATCGACGCACCGCATCCCGCATCGTTGTGGTGAACTCTCGGGCTTCTTCCTGAGAATGTTGCGTCTCGGCAATCACGGCGTCATGCCGGGCGGCGGCATCATTCAGCTCCTGCTGTAATGCCTCATTTTCACGGCGAAGGTGCTCGTTATCCGCCTCGCTCTCTCGCAATGCGCTGCGCGCTTGCTGAAGCTCCCTGGTGAGGGCGCTTGTGGAATCCTGATGGGCACTTTTCTCCGCCCGGATCGCCCGCTGCGTCGTGAGCAGCTCCTCCTCGAGGGTTCGCTTTTCATCCCGCAGGGAAGCGATCTGGCGCTCAGCAACATCGAGCTCTGCCCTGAGCTGCTCCATCGCTGTGGTCAAGGCGCGAGTATCGGGCAACATCTCTGTTTGGGAGAAGGCATCCACCCGCCGTGCGCCTTTGGCGGTCGCGGAGACCGTTTCCCACTCCACGCCACCCTCCCGCGCCTTGTCGAGGCCACACGTTTCCTTCGTTTTGCCCCCCTCTTGGTGCGGCTCCTCCCTCTTGGTCGTCTCAAGATGGATGTGAGGTTCTAAAGCTCGCATCCCTTTGTCATGCGGGGTATGATTTTGCTCTTGCTTGGAGCACAGTGGGGAAGCAACCCCTGAGGGGATGACGGCGTCCGCCAGACCACGTGGCGGTCTCAGAGCCCCTTCCGGTGCGGTGACGCCTGAAGGGCGAAGAGGTACCGATCGCAGCGCGGGTTTCCTTCGCGGAGGGCGTAACCGGTCCGCGGCACTCCATTGCAACGCCTTAGTGGGGCAGGATCGCCTTTCATCGACACCCAAATTCTCTGATTTGCTGCTAAGTGTGGCTTCTGATTGTACGAGGTCACCCTTCACTGAAGTTGTGCGTACAGAAGCAGAAACGATCGAATGAAACTCTTGCTGTAGCTTCCGCCACACTCCATCTTCCTCTTGGACAAGTTGACGACGATACCGTGACTCCATATCCTCTTCTAGTTTTAGCTTGATGCTATAACGTTTGGCAGTTGTCGCACCTTCATTCCCGATGCTTTTTTTCAATAAGACTGGAGCGTTTATTGTCTTCAAAGCAGAAGGTACATCGGAAACAGAGCATCTCGATATTGGTGTCGCGACGCATGGAGACTTAGGGGCTTCCTCAGACAAATCAATTTGACCTGTGCATGTTGAACTGATGGAAGCTTCTCTAGCAACCCGTGGAAGCAGTGCAACAAGCGGCATAATGATTGGTCCGGTTCTGTCCCCTATAATAAGTAAAAAGACACTCGACTTGGTTGTGTGTGTGGTTATTTACCCTTTAAATAGAAAACTGATACATACAATTATATATATATATATATATATATATAACGGCAATTCCAGTTATGGAGGGAAATGACAAACAAGGTACAAAATGTGGTCCAACTCACGAGGTTCGATAATATGGCAAGCAATAAGAAGGAAAAGTGAAAGTTGTGACACCAACAATACCCTCTAAAAAGGAGAATAGAAAATACATGTAAATACATTCATCCACAAGGCCTTAAGGAGCATCGTTAGAAAGGGTCCTACCATATTAGTTGTTAGTGGGTATCTTTTGAAAATTGCATCCCTAATGTTATTGGCCTCGTTCACTGCCACTTCGCAGGCAATACGTCGTCGCCAACACAACTGTGATTATTCTATGTACTATTTTACTACTAGTCTGTCGACTATTACGTAAGCACTATTTAGTATATTACCTTAACTTTTTCCCATAAAATATTAAATTAAAGTTAAACCATCGCAAAAAAAGAAAAACTCAGACGAAACGTCCCATCTCGTGAAACGTGATGAAGTGGATCGCTGCTGTTAGTAATCAGCGCCTGTCTATGTGGCGCATCTCAATCACCTGTGTGCGCATTTCATATAAACGCACAAAGAGTAAGGAAAAAAAGAAATGCCATTCTGAAAACATACCGATGAGGTCAAGAAGAAAATATTTGCGGTCATATTCTGGTAACCTATAGACGATCCGTAAAAAGGATAAGTGCTGCACGCACATGCATCCTTTTACCTGACGTCCATCACATCTCGCATTTTACCCCTTCAAGGAAAACCGTCATTTACGACGGATGATTCATCGCCATCATCTCCGTGAAAGAGACCAACGCCACTTTGAATATTTTTGCGTTGCAGAAGAAGCTGAAATATGGCTGCTCCTTGGGGTGTTTTATGTACCTTAATGTTATTTATAAAAACCGTCAAATGACTGAGAACAAGAAAAATTAACGTCAAAGCTCTGAAGAATGCATATAAAATTTTAGAAAATCCAGGGCACTTAACAAACCTGCTTTTACCGATTTGCTACCCCTTTCGACCTGAACTATGTAAATTTGAATGTGGTTTCATTTCGCCTTAGTCCTCTACGAGTACCTACTTACCATGCTTAATAGTCGATAACCATGGTAAAACATATAAAGCCTTATAGTGAACCCTCATGGATAGAAGTAACATATTTCACAAACGACAAAAAAATTAGCCCGGAGTAAAATGACGCTTGTAAAACACGTTTTACGACGAAACTGCAAAACATATATAAGAAAAGTATGGATTAACAGCACAAATGTCCCAATTACACTCAAAAGGGCGAGCAAAAAAAAAATACACATGACGGCACAAGAAACTAATATATCATTTTTGAGGGGAACTAAAAAAAAAAGTGAAATTATAAACACTTTCTAGCGTGTATGAGGCACTCACCTTCGAATCTGCTCCCAAAAAAGTCGTATTGCATATTCAAAGACTTTATAACTTATTCACAACCCAAATGGATGGGCATATATGAGCAGGGGGGCGGGAGGGGAGGAAGGGGGATCAACCGCCCCTCCCCCCCCCCTCCAAAAAAGAAAAGGCACCGGTTTAGTTCAGAGTTTCATGCGATGTGATCACCCACGATCTTCTCGTTCATTTCCCCTTCGTATTGATTTCATTGTAGGATGATTTCTATCACTCGTACTGCCGCAAAACGACCAGGTTCACGTGATTGGCTACGCTGCGTCCTTCGTGGCGTCGCTGTCGATCTTGGGGCCGACGGCGAGGTGGGTGACCTTCCGGCCGGATGCATCAATGGTGGGAGGCTTGTCAATGTAGACGCACTGCCGCGGGGGTATGCGGGGGTCGGCCCCACCCTCGCGGATGCTCGCGGGGATCAACATCACCGTCCGACATCGCGGGCACATCTCGAGGCTCGTGTTCTGTGGAAGGATCAACACGCAGCGGCAGCAAACACAGGTGACGCTGAACTGATAGACGGTGGTAACGGTGGAGCACATCGGGCACCGGACGGAAAGGGCGCCGATGGGGTAGGCGAGGGTGCGGTGGCAGCCCTCGCAGCCGATCTGGCCGGTGGACTGGAGCTGGTGCGGCATCCCGGCAGTGGGAACGCGCGACGACGGGCGCGAGAAATGGAAAAGACAAGCGAGAGGAACACGCAAATTTAACAATCGCAGTGCAGGGAGGAGGAGAAAAGGGATAGAGAGAGAAAGAGAAGGAAGACTTTCCTTTTGGGGACCGCGGTAGGAGTAGGGTTTAGATAGTTTCTAATAAAATAGGCAAAGAGAATATGCATCTAACGGATAACTTCACTTGATATGTACCATATTCGAAGGATGGAAAGGAAAAGAATGAAGAGCAAAACAGTATATAAAGAAAAGGGAAATCATAGGGAAAAGCAAATACACATCCATATACGAGCATCTATCCAATAAATTGAAATCAATAAAGCCGTATTAGTTGAGTCTTCACTTACTCATTACTTTAGATGTCTATAAAGGAAATGATTAGACCGATTATCGTTGTTCAAAGCGACCAAGGAAAGGATATGAAAAATATGAGGTCGTATAAGCCACTAACAACGCTGAAAGAAAGTGCGCAGATTGGTATATATGAAAGATAAAATTAAGCACAAACGGTTTTTTACAACTCATAGTAAATAATTACAATAAAGATGATTTATATGTTAGAACACTTCAAAGCTAACCTTAAAGCCTATTGTTAGTTAAGCCCCACTGTACGCCACGAAGAAATATTGATATAGGCCCATGCAGTGGGGCTGCTACCTATGGTGGATTTCCCTCTTTCCCTTCGATATATTTACTCACGCCTTTGTGAATAGTAATAACTGAAAAAAATGTAATATTAGTACGAATAAGAAAAAGGAATTACAAAGAAAAGGCGATCACAACATTATGATACATGGAATGGGAATAGGAAAATAAAAAAGATAATAAATAAAAATAATAATAATAATAAAGAGGAAAAAGTGAAAGAAAGGAAAAAACGTACAAATAAACCCCTAATGGATACCACTAGAACCTTCGGAGCTGAAAAATGGACCGGTATGTTGAGGTCAACGATCTTGGACTGGAAAAACCAGCACGCAGATAAAAATGCCTTGGTTGCTCCCTAATGCTGTCACTTTGTTATTGCATTGAAGCTTAAAAGCAAAGCGAAGGGGAAGCCACTTAGACGCAGCGCCCCTTCGTATCACTTCACGCATTTTTACTCATCGTAAACAAGGTAATCAACATAACCCATGCGTCCAAAGTGAAACATATCCTCTTCATCGTCAGCATCATCTACTTTCTCAAAAAAGACTTGTGAGTCGTCGATGATCGTTCCCCAGGTTGAGAAAGGCCCTCTAACTTCAAATAGGTCACAAGAGTTTCCCTATTTCCTGGAAATCGACAAATCCGTGGTACTCAGACCTGTCACTATTTCCTTATTGATGCTCAAAACATCTTTACTCCTGTCGGTCGATGATAAGGGTGGTTGTTCCCGCTTCTCCATGGCATTCAGCTCCCCCAACATCTTCTCGATGCGCTGCTGCTGCCCAACGGACCGCATTGTGACCCCAATAAAGAAGCGAATCCCGTCGTGCTCGAAGCGGTAGAAAGTATATCGGTCGAGGCGCACGAGTCGACCATTAGGATCGCACAGCCACCCATTATCGTCCTCACGGATCTCGCGGGCCTGCAAGTACATCCCGCGCATCCATGAAAGGATGACCTCCTCAATATTATGCGCGCCCAAATAGGTGTCAATGCTCATCCCATCCCCGAGGGGGTTGCTCAGGGCGGCCGAGGCCGCCCCGATGTTCTCCTTCCCGGCCGCCCCGCTGTAGCACTTGCTCAGGGCCGCGGTCACCCCTGCGCGCCGCCGCACCTGCTGCTGGGCAGCCTGCTGGAGGTGTTTATCGATCTTCGGGTTCGGCTCGATGGTGTCGATGTAGCTGTCATCGAGCCCGCCGGAGCCGCGAACCCAAAAGGACCCCTGAGGGGCGCGCGCCGGCTCCTCCGTGGCGCCCCCCCACGCCGTCACGGCCTCCGCGCCCTCGGCGATGTTCCCGAACCCCGCCGTCCAGCTGATCGGAAGAGGAAGGGGCTGACGGGCCTGGAAGGCGTGCCGCTCCGCGGTGGTGCAG